TCACTTCAAGCCCATATTTGGCTCAATCAACCCAGTGTAAGTAGCAAAACGCGCAAACCACGAGATGACAAAGTTGGAAATCACCAATCCTCTTTGATGTCTGCAAGAGTTGTCTGATCCGAGTCTTCCATTTCCACATCAGAATCCCGGACAGAGCCCAGCCATTCCTGAGCTTTGGTGAATTTCTCCCGCTCTTTCAGTAACTGAGCACGGCGATGTCGGCGCTCGGGGTCCTCAGTCATGAGGTCAAGACAGCGGGCACGACCTAAGGTGCCTATTAGCAAAATTTTCCAACCTCATACTCGACACGTATGATGTGTATGCTCACCGTTATCGCCGAAAATCTCCAGGTCGTCACGAAGAGTATTAACAAGACTTGCACGGCATGCCCGGAACAACTTTATGTGAGTGGACTGACATAAGACGTCTAGGAAACGAGAAGACGCGATATCGTAATAGGCCAGGGAGCTCTATGATCGCAATTAGTGAATGTCATAAATTCTCCCTTAGAGGACTTACGGCCATCATTTCGAGTTCCTGAGAGTATCTATCAGGACCAAGTTGCTCTGGCTGAATCTTCTTGATCTTGTCGGAAATCCGTTCATCGCTCATATCATGGCCTCGGATTTTGAGCCAGCAGGTGGCCCGAGCATTAAATCGACGAGTTTTCAGCACGTTTGATGCGAGTTGCATAGACACTTGGTGCTGGCTTTGTGCCATTGTAAACGGTATTTCGCGCTCGGACTTGCAGTAGTCCTTGGCAATCTGAAGGTGAGCTTGGCGAAGCTTGCTCATAAATTCTTTCAGGATTCTCCTGAGCTCCTGATACAACCCAGTTTGGTGGTATTGGGCGAACTCTTCTTCGAGAGCTTCGCATAACATGCCGTGAACGAGGCTATGCGTAGCCTTCAGGAAAATCTCCATGAGCTTTCCCCAATGCTCAACGCTCCTTTTATTCAAGTTTTCAATCGCCCGAGGATCGAGCTGGTTGGGTACACCAACTGTGTTAGAGCGAATCTTGAGCTCAGTCAGCTGTTGCAAAGTGATTCTCGCAGACTTCGACCCTTCGAAGTGTGAAGTGCTGTAAACAGTTCTTCTCGGAGTTGCCGGTTCCGATGTGGGAGGACCGTTCGCAGGCGACTTTCGTTTCTTTGGTGTTGAGGTGTTGACGCCCACAATCTTCATCTCGCAATCCGAATCGACAACTTCAGCCAAGTCCTCATTGTCCTTCTGCGCAGCAACATCCAAGATGGGACGTGTCTTTGCAAGCGCAGTTTGGAGATCCATAACAATCTTGTTCCACTGCTCTTGCAGCGGCTTTCGCTGGGAAGGACCGTGCTCGATGCTAGGGGTCCCATCGAACAGTTCATGAATCTTTCGCTCAAGATCCGAAGTTTTACCCCAAAGGATCCGCTGCACATCCTCGGTAGGAGGATTAGGGAGAGTTTGCAATTCGTCATCAACAGCTTTCGACTTTTCATCAATCTGGGCAATGATGGAGGGCAAAGATCCTAAGATCTGACGCATCAAAAGGTCGGACAATGCCGTTTGAAGTTGTCTGGTGCCAAAGCGGTCTTCGAATGCGGCGAGATCCCGTGTCCACAGCGAAGAACCGAAGAACATCTCTTCCTCCTTTCTAGCTTGGGCGTGGCTGACAAGTGGATCAGGATTGTTCCGAATAACATAGTAGCCGTGGCCAAGCTTGAACTTGCTCCCATCGAGAATTTCTTGCCACTGGTCAAATGCTTCGTCAGAGGGCCGACGATCAGGCTTCGTCAACACCCCAAGGGTACGTTCTTTTGCGCCCCTGATGTCCCGGACGAGCCGAGCAGCACTGGAATTTGTCGCGTCATCTGTCATGGGCAGTGTGAGGAGCACGATGCAATGCTCCTGAGAAACATAATCCTTGACGAGGTTCTCGACAAGGTTCACGAGGTACCTTTCGTTGTCTTGTTCTGCTTGGCTAATCACTCCAGGCAGGTCATAGAATGACAGGTTGGGAAGTCCAGAACCGGAGATATCCAGGCGCACGGCATTGGGAGAAAACTTAACCTGAGGTGTCTGGGCCATGTCGGTAGACCCGGGAACAAAATCCTGTGGATCGGTGCTAGGGTTCAAGATAGCTAACTGGGCGCACCAGATAGCGTTTTTAACATCCTGTTTGTTGTCCAAGGTGATAAAATGCTCATCATCTTGACCACCAAGGGCAATCCATGGCCCTAGCGGCTCTGATTTCTTGGGAATCTTCGTGCGCTTCGATGGATCGAAGATGTAGCGACGTGATAGGTGAACCACGCATCTCCAGTTGTCATCACTCTCCGAAAGATTAATTTCCAGGGGGCATCGAGTGCAGGTTCCTTCGGCTCTAGGAACCTTGATCTCAGAGATACCCTCGATAAGGGAGCTTTTTCCGGTGCTCTGGTCACCGACGACACAAATTTTTGGAAGCATAATCTTGCTGTCCTCAATCCCCAAGTGACTGAGATCTTGAATCTTTTTCACAAGGTTCTTCATGTCCATTGTCAGGTTATCAAGAGACGAACCGGGAATTGCATGAGGGGACTTCGTATCACGTAGGCCATGAGATGCCGGCATTGAAACAGCTAAGCCAGCTAGAGGAATGAAGAGACTGGTTAGCGGAAAGAGTATTTCTTATCAGAAGAGACCAGACTTACGGATAGCTGGGCTGGGTTCCGACTTGGGAACACGATCATACACGCCTGACATCGTGGAAGATCAAGTCTGGGGGAGTGATTGTTAGCCATGAGATCAGGAAGACAAGAGACAGTAAGTGGCGCCCAAAGCCACTGGCAGTAGCGTAAGGCAAAGTAAAACATACAAAAAGGCACAGATAAGGAAAGCAGGGAATATGAAGGTCTACACAAGTTAGAGACAAGTGTAATTCTCAAGACCAAGTTGGCCGAAACCAGTGAAAGCCGCTGCAGGTGATGAGGCGTATCAGAGGCCAAAGGCTAGTCAAGAGGCAAAAGTTGTAGACAGAAATAGGAGAAGGGCGAGATCGAAGTCGAGGAGATGGGTGAATGAAGGAAGATGATGAAGAATGAGGGTAGTCGCATGGAAACTAAGGAGAGAGAAGGATAGTAGAATGAAAGCAAGCAGAAGGATAGCTAGCAAATGGTAAATATGACAGAAAAAAACGGACGAAGAGGTCGTCGTGCACATGATTGGTACAAGAAGAGATGGAATAGTCGACACGGCGTTGTGTCTATCAGGTTGTACAAATTGGAATGGCCTTTCTTCCGCAGGCATATATCATTTGCTTTCCCCCCTCAGGACTTCTACAATTGAATTTATACAGACTCGAGTACCGAATATTATATGCAGTACCCAGTCGCTAGGCAACGAATGCATGGAGGCGCCTGAGACAGTAGGAATCATGACATCCGTAGAGCAAAGACGAACAAGTATACTCCATCGATCCAGGTGATACTAGCGTTAAACTTCTGTAATATAGCGACCTTAAAGGCCATAAACAGAACTTGATAACGACATCAGGACAGAAATTTACAAGCTCCCTGTTCCCTCCAAATTTGCTTAGGTCAAAACTAGCCTGAGGTTCTTCGAGATACTGTTATCAGAAGACATAAGCTGCGGTAGTCTCCAATAGAAGTCAATAGAAATGTAGATTGTCTGCTTCTTGAGCTAGCCCTCGTAGAAAGTCGTGATAATTGTCACCAAACTCTTCTGTAAAAGGCCCCCACGGGCCACTGAGTCTCCGACATCTGCAACATCTAGGCAGTCGGATGGGTGTCAGAATGTGTGCGTCTACATATCTACCTACGAGGTAGTAAATACTCGCTCTGTAGAACTTTGGCCATAGTAGCCATAGTTCATCACTCTAGCCTCGTATATAAAAAATGCTATTGGAGGTTGCAATTCTTGGGCAGACTGTAGATATCTCCGTGCCCTAAACCCTACATCTTAATTTAGTATCCGCGAACTACGCTCGACAACGGAAGACAGGAAGTATAGAGTCCGGGCAGTGGAATATCCATGGATAATTCTTAAATAAAGGTATTATTTACATAAATATCTCATTGCTATGTATGGACGAGTCGGGCCAATTTAAGAATGAGTCATTGAGGAGAACCTCAAGTGGAAGGTTAACAGTTCTAGGAAATCGACCAATCATATGCCAAGCCGATCCCGCCCAAAAATTCCAGTCCCTCATCCCACCATCCCACCATCCCACTTTTTGTTCTCACCACACATTATGGCGGATTCCAACCCTGTTCAAGAGGCTACGGCCTCCATTGCCAACCTTCTTCTCGACGATGTCACCGGCGAGAAAGTCTCCAAGACTGAATTGAAGAGACGCCAGAAGCAGCGTGAGAAGGATGCCAAGAAGAAGGAGAAGGAGGCCGCTGCTCCCCCCAAGGCCGAAAAGAAATCATCTGCCGAGGAAGACGAGGCCAACTTGACTCCTAACGTTAGTTCTATTGCCACTGGATCAATTCCCGGTTCCTGTGAAGCTAATTAATGTGTCATTCCAGCAATACTTCGAGATTCGTTGCAAGAAAATCAACAAGCTGCGCGAAACCAAGCAGCCGGATCCTTACCCACACAAGTTCCACGTCGACACTGACCTCCGCAACTTCGTTAAGGAGTACGATGGTCTCCAGAAGGGCGAACAGAAGCCCGATGTCACCGTTCGCGTTGCCGGCCGTATCTATACCAAGCGTACCTCTGGTAACAAGCTGAACTTCTACGACATCCGCTCAGAGGGTGTCAAGGTCCAGGTAATGTGCCAAGCACAATTCGCGACCGGAAAGCCCTTCGAAGAGCAGCACGAGCACCTTCGCAGAGGTGATATTGTGGGCATCGTAGGTTTCCCTGGTCGGACCAATCCCAAGAACCGTGACGATGGTGAACTTTCTATCTTCGCCACTGAGATTATTCTCCTGACCCCTTGCCTACACGCTATTCCTTCGGAGCACTACGGCTTCCAGGACAAAGAGCAGCGTTTCCGCCAGCGCTACCTGGATCTCATCATGAATGACCGATCACGTGATGTCCTTATTACTCGATCTAAGGTTGTTTCCTACATTCGCCAGTACTTTGAAAAGCGTGATTTCATTGAGGTTGAGACTCCTATGATGACCGCTATTGCTGGTGGCGCTACAGCTAAGCCCTTCGTAACCCACCATAATGACCTCGACATGAACCTCTTCATGCGTGTCGCCCCTGAGCTATACCTCAAGATGCTGGTTGTTGGAGGACTCAACCGCGTGATGGAGCTGAATCGGTGTTTCCGCAATGAGGGAATTGACCTTACTCACAACCCCGAGTTCACCACTTGCGAGTTTTACCAGGCTTATGCGGATGTGTTCGACCTGATGGAAACCACTGAGGACCTCGTTTCCAGTCTGGTCAAGCACATTACTGGTGGTTATGAGACAGTATTCCACACTCAGTCTGGCGAAACCTACAACGTGAACTGGAAGGCACCCTGGCGGCGAGTGGAGATGATGCCTGCTTTGGAGGAGGCCTGCGGTGAGAAGTTCCCTGCCGGTGACCAGCTTCACACCCAGGAGACCAACGAATTCCTTAAGCGCATTCTGAAGAAGATGAACGTGGATTGCTCGCCCCCACAGACCAATGCCCGCATGCTGGACAAACTTGTGGGGGAGTTCATTGAGAGCACTTGCATCAACCCCACTTTCATCACTGGTCACCCCCAGATGATGTCGCCACTGGCCAAGAAACACCGACACATTACCGGTCTTTGCGAGCGTTTCGAAGCCTTCGTTTGGTAAGTTCTCACCCGACTTGTAGCTTCCAAATTTGCTTTGCCCGGAATTGGCCAGTCAGCTTTCAGCGGATTTTAGCTAACTCAATTATAGCACCAAGGAGATCACGAATGCTTACACGGAGTTGAACGACCCCTTCGACCAGCGTATGCGCTTCGAGGAGCAGGCCAACCAGAAGGCCCAGGGTGATGACGAGGCTCAGATAATTGATGAGAATTTCTGTCAATCCCTCGAGTACGGCCTGCCCCCGACCGGTGGCTGGGGTATGGGCATTGACCGCCTGGTCATGTTCCTTACCGACAACTACAGCATCAAGGAGGTGATGACCTTCCCCATGATGAAGGATGACAAGACCGCCGCCGAGCCGAAGACTGCTGCCGAAGTCGCCGGTATCGAGCCGGTTCCCGAGGAAGGAATCCGTATGTTATTAATATCAGCAAATTTCCACGAGCCGGTATCACTGACAATGACTCTACAGCCCACAAATGATTAAAATACCATGATTTTCCGAGAAGAGGACGTCGATGTTATTGATGTGTGATGATCTGGGGTTTGCATGCAATTCTCTGTTTTACGATAAATGCAGCAGATAAAATAGGTTCTCAAGAATATCTAGGCGACATACAGCCAATTTTCAAACAATATCCTTGCATTCCAATTAATATTGGTTGATATTAAGGTAAAGCTGGTATCTCTTCGCCAGAGCAAGCCATGGATTCACTAATAGTTAGCCCGAATGAGATCGAGAGGTTGATCGATTTAACCAAGTGTACAAGTGCAGTGTTTTCGAGGGTTACGATCTGTTTGTCCTTAAGCACTCTCAAACTACCAGGCGTCATCCGATCCCATGAGACTGTATTTAACAATGGCCAGTACAACTTGCATCTGAGAACCTTCATCAACCCCAAGCCTTTTATCTACACCCACATATCCATTTTCATTTTTACATCCCCATCCTCTTCTTCTTTCCCTTTTGCTTAAAGCAATACTTCCTTCAAACATCATCAAGTGCCATCGAGCACAGCTCTGTTGGAATCATGGGCCATCATACCATGCCTCTCCCTCGCATCCCAGACCTGAGTCTCCCATCTTTTCGAGAGCTCGACGAGTCTGTCGAAGCCAACAGGCTCAGCCAACCGAGCTCGCATCTTTCTAACAATATGTACGATGAAACAGGCGACAGTTCCTCGTCTTCGCCACAAAAAATCAATACCCTTGCCAACCCGTTCCCACCCTATCCAGCTAATGGATGGCTCGTCCCGCCTGATCCCAGCCAGAATGTTTGTATCCATCCATCTCTCCCTCGAGATATCATTCTAAATCTAGTCAGGCGTTTCGGGAGCCCGGATTTACCTACCAAGACGTGCGTGCAGAATGATAGACGTGGGAGAAAGTGAGTATCATATGTAGCTGACTTCTAACAACAGGTCTCTGCTGGGGCGCTTCAATCTAACGGGAACGTGGACAGAGGTAGGGAAGCAAGAACAAAACCCTGTATCTCAGCGCAAAAATGCAGCTTACAAGTCCATCCTACAGACAACCATCTCACCCCTCAACTCCCTCTACGTCTGAAGGAAACCCAGCAAATTCAGACATCACCAACCCCCACGCAGTCGACTCTTAGCTCCGCGCAGACGACATTCCGCGAGGCGCTATCTCCAAGCACCCAGATGTCATCCACACCGGAGAAGATCTACCCCAACGCGCCTCGACCAATCTCAACGAATCGGGTACCACCGAACAAGCAGGTCAAGCGTCAAAGCGTCAACCGCGATGCAGCCGCAAACCACCGAGCCCAGAGACGGCGAGTCGGCGTTCACTTCTCAGAAGTAGCAGCCCACACGGCAAAGTGCGATGTATGCAACAAGCGCAACAAGAATGGCATGTCTCGCTGCCAGAACTGCGGCTGGCAAGTCTGCCGCAGGTGTCTGACCGACCGAAACGGAGACAGAACACATGCTTCCTTTGGAGCTACTCATGTCCCCGAGGGCGGTGGCGATATGCCGGTATCTTCGCCATCCATGGTTGAGAATCAGGATCGCCAATCTTCCGAGTCGATTGCCGAAGTTAGGGCTGCGCAAACCCTGCTTGACATTGGATTTTTCGGTAACGGAACCGGAACTCTGAGTACCACCGGAGATGTTCAAAATACTGCAGGTGGACAGAAAGTGGCTCCTGCACGTGAGCGAATCTTGAAGCAGCAGGTCGATGCTCTCTCTACTGATTCTGATATGACCTTGTCGGTTGGCGGAGACGAAGAGTGGGCTCAGGATGAGTCTGATATCCCTATTGGTGAGGACGGTCTGCCTATTGGGTACATCATAACACGGCGCAATCCTGCGCGTGCTGCGAGACCCTCTACCAAGATGGCGGAGTAAATGGGCGTGGATTTGAGGAGACAGGCGAGAGCAAGGAAGTATCACTGAGATCTGAAAACGAATGTAAGAAAATGGTGGAAGGCAAGTGTGAAGACATGGAAGATGTGGACAAAGAAGTATGAAAGCGAGAAAGAAGGAGAAAAACGAGAAGAAGAAAAAACAGATTGGCGCGCTTTTAGGATATCGATTTTGGGTAGATCAACCAATGAACTTTGTTTTAGTTCAAAATGTATTTTACAATGAGTACATACGTAATGCTAGTTATACAATAAGACCCGAGCGTCGCTCGAGTCGATCGATGAATGGAGATGGTATCGATTACCAAGGCGATTGATTAACACAATCAATCCTGGCCGACATATTCATACACTCGAGAGGCAAGGTCATTAGACTCTCTTCACAGCAGAGGCAGCAGTGCTAGAAAGCTGCTGGGACCGAGCCTTCGCAGCCATCTGCAACAGCTTGGCCGTACGTGAGGGATGCCAGATTCGGCTGCCCAAGACCATGACCCAGGTCAGGAGGAACAAGCTGCCAGCCTGGTGGGCGGAGGCAAGCGGCGTGGGAACGAGGTAGAGAAGAGTAGTAATACCGAGTCCGACTTGGCAACAGGCGAACGCGAACACGCCGTGGACGCCCTTTCTAGCAGGTGCCGGTAGGAAGCGCTTCATGGTGGGGGAGCGGCGAGTGTAAGCCATCAAGGCGCAAATGGCGGTGAAGGTGGTCATTGCGAGCATGCGGTGGTCAAGCTGAACAAGAGAAGGATTCTCAAGCATGTTGCGCCACCAAAGATCGGAGCGGTCTTCGTGGCGGGAATAGCGGGAATCGAACAGCTCCGCCTTTGGAGGTGCTAGTCCTTTGCCCATCCATGGGAATTCGTTATAGATAAGCCCAGCATCAAGGCCAGCGACGAGACCACCGGAAATGACAGTTGTAAAGACCAAGAGAGCAATACCGGCGACTGAGCGGCGGAAGAAGGCCAGCTTCGGGTCGCGCAGCGCATTCAGCTGGCTGATTCCAGCAGCCGGGTCGGCCATCAACCGATTGGACCGCAAAATAGCAAGACCGTTCCACAACATCGCGATGTAACAAACGAAAGCAGCGCCCAAGTGAGCAGTCAGACGATATTGGCTCACTCGTGGGTGACTGCCCGGAGCAAAGAGATCATCCTTCAAGCCCGACTTGACCATCCACCAGCCAAGGAAACCCTGGAAACCAATAAGACCGGCGATTCCAAAGAGACGCCACGCCATGGGTGTTGAGACCTTCTTTCGAGCGACGAAGTAGACTGCAGGCAGCACAAATGAGATTCCGACAAACCGGCCCCAGAGCCGGTGAATCCATTCCATATAGTAGATCGACTTGAACTCGGATAGAGTCATGTTCGGGTTAAGCAATTGAAATTCGGGAGAGGCACGGTACTTTGAGAACTCATCCTCCCAGTGTTCCGCGTTCATTGGGGGAAGGGAGCCGGTAACAGGTCGCCATTCGGTGATGCTCAATCTGTGCGAAAATTTGTCCCGTCAGCTTCCGAAGCTCACTTCTTGTGAAGACCAAGCAGCTAACAAACGTACCCTGATTCTGTCAAACGTGTCAAACCACCGAAGACCACAATTCCAAAAACACTGGCCGCGCTGCCTAGAAGCCAGTAGGCAACGGTCTTGTCGCTAATTTTGGGGAAGCTCGATTTGGCTTTTGCGCCACCCTCTTCGACCGCCTCCGCAACGGCCGGTGCAGTATTTGAACGCTTGAGACTGGAGGTGAAGAATTTCTTATTGTTCAGAAGTGTGGATTGAATCTTGCTTGGTTGACGGAACTGCAAGGCGCCGAATTGGCGGATCGATTTGGCTGTGTAGCCCTGACTTGGGAGGCATTTGGATGTGAAAAAGTCCTTGGCTAAACGAGGCGCAACACTCCGCCATAGCGACAGAGAGCTCCCCAGAGAAGCCATGGTTAAGGCAGATGAGTGAAAGAAGAAAGTTAGTGAAGTTCGGGGATTGTACGATGTTGCGGAATGCCTTGGCCAATCAGCAGTGGAGCATTTGTCGGAGTGGAATAGTACTGTCAACAATACACAACAGTTGACAGAGGCACTAAATTGAGAATCGAGAGAATACTAACATCTATATGGTACGGTTTAGAATTGACCGTGACTATCCATGTATGGGGCCCAATATCGATGTTGATGCCTCAGGCGGATACACTTCGGGCGTTATGATCGCCGCAGCTCCAACCATCCGCATTGTATTGATCCGCACCACTTGACTTGCTTCCCAGCGCAACACCAATATGTCCTACGCTCTGGAATCAAAGAAGAGGAAGTTTCACCGTGTTCTCGAATCAATATCCAAGCCTCTTACCTCCGACAACGCACCTAAACCAGCCCCTGTGGCGCCTACGACGGCGCAAGACCGTCTCTCCGCCAACTTATCGATCAAGAAAGTACGCTTGGCCAGTGCCGACCCTTCGGAGCTTACAGCGGTGCGCAACTCAATCCACAAGATCTCGCGACCAGCGCACCGAATAGCCTCCGCAAATTCGAATAGGCGCCCAACCTTTGTCCCTTGGGACCGCCAACGTTTTCTCGAGCGGTTAGAGACCTTCCGCCGTGTTGACCGATGGACATCAAAGCCATCTCCGATCAATGAAGTACAATGGGCGAAGCGTGGTTGGATATGTACAGATGTTATGCGCGTCACCTGTGTGAGCGATTGTGGCGGTGCAGTGGTTGTGAAGCTTCCTGATGAAATCGACGAGCTCGATGGTTTTGACATTGAGAAGGTGGAGGAGCGGAAGGAAGTCCGTGAGTAATCCAACAATATCGCTTGCTGGTCAGCTGAATGGGGTCATATGCTAACACACAGACATGCAGGCGCGAGGTTGGTGGATGAGTATGCGAAAATGCTAAGTAGTGCTCATGGCGAAAACTGTCCCTGGAGAAACAAGAGCTGCGATGGTGAGTCTGGTTATCACATTGAGCACCTTTCGTCCCATGGCTAACATCAAATTAGCCACTATCCAACATCTCCCTTTGACCAATTATGATGCCGCCCTATCGGGACTTCACGGGCGATATACAAACATCTCGAAAATGGGCGATAAACTACCAGCTGATGGTGTCATTCAAACTCCAGAAGGGCTTGACCTTGATGTTCTTGTCAAAGGCCTTCCCGACGAATGGTTCAAAGAGGCCGAGAAAGCTGCTGTATCCACCAGCGAAGAGACTCAGCCTGCAAACACCGACAACCAAGACTCAACAGAAACACCTAAAGCCGTTAATCGAGTCGCCTTAGCGCTGGCATTGCTCGGATGGGATACTGCGTCCGATGGAGCTGCCGGGTTAGTAGGATGTGGTGCATGTTTCCGTCGCCTGGGATTATGGATGTACAAACCCAAAGACAATGGAGACGTGACCGTCTACACTTCACTCGATGTGGTCGATGAGCACATGGAGTATTGTCCCTGGATTGACAAGGTAGCCCAAAGTGGCACTGGGCGGCCCAACGAGAAGTTGGAAGAACTACGCGCTGGGTGGCAGATCGTCGCGGAGGCCGTGAAGGTAAAACACCGCCGCAGAGTTCGCACTATGGCCTCCACCGATACATTGCGGACGGACCTAGACACACCAACCGAGACCGCAGGCGAAGAAGAAAACGCGGAAGCGAAAAAGAAAGCCGATCGCGAGTGGTGGGCGAAAATTCGACGAGTAAGACAGGTTTTGACGGCCAAGTCGCCAAAACGGAAAGCTGTCTTGCCTCAATGATCTTGCATTCTGGTCTTCATTCTTGTTCAATATTACATTTAATTGGGAGCGCGGGTTTTATGAAGAGCTCAAAGTGCATCTTTCAGCGGCTGGTGTTTTTCTGATAGCTTCGATTCATGGTCATTGCGAGACACGACACTTCGCAATGGTGATAATACATTTATCTCATATTCATGCCTAGACACCGTAGTCTTAAGAATCCTTGAAATATCGTAGACAGATGAATGGGAATTAGGGTTGGGTTGGAACGCTGTGATTGGCCGAGATCCGGAGCTCATTGGACTTTCTTCGGACCCCCAGCTCCATTGCTCTGATATAACTCTGACTTCCACACGCGATGTTTCTGTGAAATCGACCTAAACTCTCTATTTCTTCGAAGACTATTCCAATTTCCGGATATACACCTTTCTTTATTTCCTCGTCAGATCCCCGCGACCATTGTCCTCCCGAATCACTTCTTTGAACAGTTCACAGCTCTACCCACGTCGCCATGGATCATCACAATGGAGACGGAGCCCATGATGAAGCTACTGGGCGGCCCACACCCCGATCGCCTGTCCGCACGAATACCACCAACCCTCCAACAGATACCGGCAGACACAAGAGCATCGAAGGAGACGGTGCGACAGATGGACCGAACCAATTGTCAAGCGCGGCACCCAAGCGCAAGAGACTCCAGGAGAGACATCAAGCCCTCCGAAAACGGGGCCGAACTCCGCCGTCCGTATTCTCGCGACGCAACCGCTCCCGCAGCCCCGGCGGCGCTCCACCACGCGAAGACCGACGCTCTCGATCGCCACTACAACCACGCCGCTCCCCCTCCCCCGATGCACCGCGTCAACGCAAGAGACCGGGTGGCGGAGCGCGACAGGGTCTTGTAGACCGTGAAACTCTACGACGTAAACAGGAGGAACGTGAGCGTGCAGAACAGGATGAGGCTATGCGCAACTCTCAGCAGCGCGGTGTCACGGACGTGGTCCGACAACACTACAACGCGGTTCCGGAGAGAGGCCGTGAGTGGCGGAAGACAGAGAGCAAGATCAAGGGGCTACGAAGCTTCAACAACTGGGTGAAGAGTACTCTGATACAGAAGTTCTCTCCCGATGAGACATTTGTCGCGCGATTCGAGGATAGCAAGGAGTGGGCGGACGATAGCCAAGGGCCGCCGCCTGCTGCTGATCAAAAGCTTCTGGTACTGGACCTGGGCTGTGGTAAGGGAGGCGACCTGGGCAAGTGGCAGCTGGCGCCTCAGGCGGTTGACCTCTATGTCGGTCTTGACCCTGCCAATATCTCCATTGAGCAGGCGCGCGGTCGGTACGACCAAATGCGCTCGGGCCGCGGTCAGCGAGGTCGTCGACCACCCCAGCCGATTTTCCATGCCGAATTCTATCCGAAAGACTGCTTTGGCGAGTGGCTTGGCGATATCGACATCGTCCAGCGGGTTGGTATCGATGCTAATGCCGGCCCCGGTGGCTCTATCATGGCATCTCGCTACGGCGGTGGAGGCTTTGACATTGTCACATCTATGTTTGCCATTCACTATGCCTTTGAGACTGAGGAGAAGACTCGCCAAATGCTCAGCAATGTTGCGGGTTGCTTGAAGAAAGGCGGTCGTTTCCTTGGCGTTTGTCCAAACTCGGACGTCATTACCAGCCGCGTATCTGCCTTCCATAAAGAGCGCAAGGCGCGCGAGGCTGCCAAGCCCGCTGAGCCGGAAGGCCCCGAGGATGGTGAAGTCGAGGAGGATGAGCGGGCCCAGTGGGGTAACGACATCTATCGCGTTCAGTTCCCTGGCGCAACCCCCGAGGATGGAGTATTCCGTCCGCCTTTCGGGTGGAAATACAGTTACTTTATGAAGGAGGCAGTGGAAGAAGTCCCCGAATACGTTGTTCCATGGGAGGCTTTCCGAGCGTGAGTGTCGGCTATCATCACGTTCTACCATACGTAACTAACCTTCCATTCAGCCTGACTGAAGATTACAACCTAGAACTACAATACCGCAAGCCATTTTTGGATATCTGGGAGGATGAGAAGAATCATCCGGAGCTGGGCCCGCTCAGTGAGCGGATGGGCGTTAGAGACCGCACGACTGGTGCTTTAAATATGACAGAGGAAGAGAAGGAGGCTGTCAGTGAGTAATCCCCTATGTGTGCGTTGCTTTTTTACCTACTAACGGATGACATCGCTAGGCTTTTACCATGCCTACTGCTTCTACAAGGTATAAGCTATCATGCATACTATGTACTTAAATACTCCATTGGCCATCTGTAAACTCCTCGCTCAGCATTTATATTCTCAATTTCAAAGAATGATCTCCTTGGATATCAAAACAACAATAGTCTCCGACGAGACCTGCATAGCATTAATCACAATTGATGGTTACAGTCTCCAAAAAAAGACGTCGCCCTCGGGATACCCCCTGACTCCCGAAAAATCGACTGTTGGCCTTCTCAATTGACGAGTATACCATTCCCAATTCCTCTCACCCCTCTATACATCAGGCTGCTAAATCTCCACCACATTCCCATCAGGATCTGTAACCATCAAGAACATCTCAATCCCAACATCTCAATCCCAATCAATCCCTGCGCCTTGACAAGCGCCCTCTTGTGATACTTGAGTAATGACGTCTGCCGTAGCAATATAGCTGGCATATTGCGCTGGAGTCTCCTTAATCCCAGCTTACAAGATGTTTGTGCGACAAAAGATGCAACCCTGTGATGTCAGTCCTATATTGAACGAGGAGTGAATGGGTTTGTGAGAGGAACAAGATATTTCATAACAGCAGGTAGACCTACATTCCGCTAAAGCTTTGATTCAAGAGTATCTGAACGCTAAAGAAACGTCAATGGTGCAGGTCGCGTAGGACAGTGTTTTGGGTTTCAGGGACAGCGGCAGCTTCTATCCTGATCGATTTCCAAGATTGTCTGTTGCTGGCGAAGATAAATACTCCGAAGTTCAGGGTAAGTGTCATTTGAACATCTTGAACTTTTGCGTCTCCAATCTCGAGATATTGTTTCTTGTGGGTCCCTTTACGTGTACATCTTCTCTTCTCCCAGGGCTGTCACCTCACCGTGAACGTCGCGCGCCCGAGTTGACGTTGGACCCTGGGCCGAGGAACATTCCGTCTTGTCGGTTGCGAATCCCGGGGAAAATTAGAGGATTTTTCCCGGCTTGTTCTCTGGCAATCGAGAGGGCCGGAATGCAGCCGGTCAATGGAATGGCGCCTGGGTATGCCAAGGAAATTCTGATATCAAAAAATCCAGCGATATCAAGGAAAGCAAGGACAATTGCAGTGATCCATAGTACAAGCGCCTGATGGAATCGAGAGACGCCGTTGTATTATCATCAGTGAATGGACATCTAACTGAGTCCAGTTCGAGACAAGCCAATGAAGAGTGGTGATGATAATCATTGATCTCGTACTTTATTTGTCAAGACGAAAGCAAGAGTCTTCTGGATCTATGATATAAAAGATGAAGTGATGGTTGATGATGATAGGAAAGATATACCGCATGTTCAACAAATATGTAACGGTTGGCCCGGGGCTTCACAAAACTGCAGGGGCCATGGGTTTAGAAGATGCAGAAGCTGTAAACATAGTAGTACTTCTTAAAGAATACGGAGTACCTATACTCGACTATACTTCCAGTGTCAAGGCCCACTCCATAGTGATAAGGCTTATCGCTGATATATGTAACCCCAAACGGGACTAGCGTTATCGCGTCTCGCGTCGGGATTTCGAGATGCGCTTTGTTACTTGCACTTTCTTTGTCAACGGTTGAGAACCGTGTACTCGAATTAAAGCATAAAACCCCCTGTGATCCGGATCTCCCCAACTCACCCACTACAAGAGTTTCCCCCTCAACCACAATGTCGGCAACACCAAGCCGACGGCCCTCAGCGCTATCCCAGGCCCATCCACAATCAGCACAATCTCTCAGACGAAACGCAGTCCACACCTCAGTCTCACGAGCAACACCCCTGCCAGAATACGAGACTCCTGAAGCACCCCTCACTGCAGAAAGCCAGCGCCAAATCGCTGCTCTGCTCGCATCACACCACCTTCGTACCCTCCGCACCCACCTCCAACATGCCGCCGAGAAACTCACACACTCAGGTGGTGAAGTAAACGAGCGCCTTAGTGATGCCAGGACCCGATATGAGAAATTAAAGGAAGCGCGCCGACGTCAAGGCGACGAGAATGTCGACGACGACGAGGCCAATGAGGAGTACCAGCGGCTCGCTGAGGCAGAGGCTCGAGTCGATGCTATTACTGCGCGGATGGAGGAGAAGACACGGCTGATTGTCGATTCAGAAATAAAGCTCCAGGGGTTGACAGATGCGATGAGTCAAATTGAAAGGGAGGAGGGTGAGACTGTCGCTGCTGCTTTAGGAGTTAGGCAGACCCGTCAGCAGCGGGCAAGGCAGAGAGCCAACGATGGCAATGACGCCGATGGGACTGAGGATCCCACCGATCGTGATTATGAAGATGAACAGGAGAGAGAGATGCGGGAGCGCAATGCACAGAACCCGCCTAGTCGCAAGCTGGAGGATAAGTTGACAGAGGGAGTTCAGAAGTGGAATGAGCTTTCTTTGACAGAAAGGTATGGGTTTTATTCCTGGCTTTGCTTGTGACTGTTGGACTCGAAGGCGCAGAACTGACAACTACTATAGATATGCCAGCAATAACTCCTACATTGGCTTCTACCGGATGGTTCACGACTCCAAGTTCCCCGGCGACGACGTCCCGCCGTTGCCCCACTCGTCTACATGGTTCGAGCACATGGAAGATACGAATGCGCGATCAGGGGCACCGGCACGTACGCGCAACCAGAACCGTGGCCGTTCGCCTGCCGGCTCCGACGATGACATTGCCATTGAGCGCGAGCGCATCTCCCTTAAATGCCCATTGACTCTCACACCCTACCAGGATCCTGTGACGAGCACCAAATGTCCGCACAGTTTCGAGCGTGAGGCCATTATGGATATGATCAACCGCAGCCCGACGACTATTGCGCCCCCGGCGTCTCGTCGGGGACAACGCCGCGTCCATGTGGTTAAATGTCCCGTTTGTTCTACTCCGCTGACTGCGGACGATTTGCGGCCAGATCCTGTTCTACTACGACGTGTTCGCCGGGCCCAAGAGCTTCAGGAGCGCGAAGAAGAAGATGATCACCTTGAAGGGGACGGGAGAAAGCAGAAGGATCGAAGTACCGGTATTACCTTGGGTAGTGACGTGGAAAGCGATGATGATGCTATGGATGTTGATGCCCACCCTCCATCACAGCGTGTCAAAATGGAGCCGCTCAGTCAGGCTGCTCCGGCCGCTCAATCCGATGATGAACCGGGCGACGATGCGGAGAGTCAAGATGTTGAGCGTGAGGATGCGGAGAACGCGGAAGGGGAGGGTGAAGAGGGGGAGGATGAACAAGAGCGGAACGAAGAGGTAGATATTGAGGGACCGGACAATGAAGAAGGTGAGAACGAAGAAGTGGAGAACGAAGAGGCAGATAGTGAAGAAGTGGGAAATGAAGAGGTTGATATTGAACAAGCGCAGACTGAAGAAGAGCAGAACGAAGAGATGGAAACCGACGAACCGGAGAACGAAGAAGATCAGAATGAAGAAGTGGACGAGGAAGTGTCCAGCAATGAAATGCGGAATGAGGAAGAGCAGAATGAGGAAACCCAGAGCGAAGAAAGACAGACTGAACAGGACAATGGGGATGTGGAAGATGAAGATGTGGAGAGCGAGGAAGGGCAGAATGAAGCTGTGAATTCTCAAAAGGATATGCAAGCAGATGTGCAGAATGAGAAAGGACAGGATAAAGATGACAGTGAGGACAGCAGAGAAGACACTGAAGCCAGTGACAGTGAGGACAGCAGCGAAGACACTGAAGCCAGTGACAGTGATATTGAACCCAAAGTCGAGAGTGGGTCCGAGGATGAGGAAGTGGAAGGAGAAAGCCAAGACAGTGATTGAGATGTATGCATGATACCGTCCATTTCGAGCGTTTTTAAATGAAGTTCCCTTCCATCAAGCCGAGAAAATGAAACGGTTCAAGTAGACGTTCGGACTCTTTTTTTAAAAAAGGAACTTCCCTAGCTCCAAATCTGACTGGATCTTGTACTACCTAGAATAGAGCCTCAGATCATCAGATTTATGGGTATCTACATATGTATCTTATAGATCTAAATGCGGTGAATGCCTGCAGCTGTCAAGTCCCTAGTTATATTTTTAAAATTCCGAAACGAAAAGGATCACGCTAGTCCACTTATGGTCTCTTCCCCGCAGTTGAGCCAGCGGATTGGCCTGTGGGACTCGGGCCAATCAACCCATCAGCCAATCAAAGTGGGGGTATGACTGTTTCAAGGTTAGCGTCCCTCGTTCTCCTTTGATTAGACGATAGTTCCAAGAAAGGTTTTCCCATTTTAATATTTCGGGATGTGACTCTAACGAGATCTCCAACTCTATTAGCCGAAAAAGCCCCATAGTAACCTTGATGACCTACAAATACTACATCTCATTCCCCAGACATTCTCACGCGACAATGGTCTACCGGCCTAGGGCAAAAGAAACAGTGCCATCAGGGTGTAACACTGCTATCAAAGCGCCCAGGCCCCCTATCACTACCCCCGCAAGTACGAACCCCTATCCAATTGTACCTACCACCAATAACTATCGAAGACTGGTCTTTTTTTGCCAATGTTGTAAGGCCAGCCACATAAAGCTAGCTTCAGCCCGTGACTGAACCCAATGCTACCCTGCAACATACACTATTTTGGCTATTGACACATCTTTCTATTGTAATCTGGACTTAGTGCTCCTGCCTACTCTTGCGCAGGGCACATCGTACAAGCTTGCTATCTTTTATTTTTTTGCTTTAAAGATCTCAATGTCTCCTTTTTAATCTTCCTTCTCCCCCACACACCTCTTAATATTCTCTACACATTTTATCGTCTATTCTTCTGCGGTCTCAACTCCGCCTTCATTCATAATGGATGATCGGAAGGCTCCTGCCGAATATTCCTCCGAACCTGACCACATCCCCCGACCTGCAGGATGGATGTACAAGTCCAGTAAGATCGGCAAATTCTCAACGAGCTGGTATGCCTCTCCGCGCATCCAGCTGGGCATGGTCGCCTTTGTCTGCTTCCTCTGCCCGGGCATGTTCAACGCCCTGAGCGGAATGGGCGGTGGTGGCAAGTCCGACCCCAGTTTGGCTGATAAAATGGTACGATTTGCACGCGAATTTTGTTTTCGTCGTATCTCGCCCCCACCCTGCACATCTGATACTCCGAAACCCCGACTTGGTCGCATTTACATTCACACTCTAACAACAACAGAACATTGCGCTGTACAGTACATTCGCCGTGGTGGGTTTCTTCGCCGGAACGGTCGTCAACCGTATCGGCGTCCGTCTTTCCCTCTCATTCGGTGGAGTCGGTTACTGCATTTACTCCATTAGTCTCTTGGTCTCCGAACATGCATATGTCCCCGGTTTCAACATTTTCGCCGGCGCTTTGCTGGGTGTGTGCGCGGGTCTGCTCTGGGCCGCCCAGGGCACCATCATGATGTCCTACCCGATCGAGCAACAGAAGGGCCGCTACTTCGCCTGGTTCTGGGCTATTTTCAATGTCGGCGCCTGTATTGGTAGCTTGGTAAGACCAGCCCGGTCCCTTTTCCAGCCCCGTACTTGCAATTGGTTCCATCATCCGTCAACAACTAACATGACGATTCAAAGATCCCCCTGGGCCAAAACATCCAGGTCAAGGAGAACAAGACTGTCGGCGACGGTACCTACATCGCCTTTATCGTTCTCATGTTCGCAGGCGCCTGTCTTGCACTGTGTCTCTGCGACGCAGACAAAGTCGTGCGTCGCGACGGGTCACGCGTGATCCTGATGAAGCACCCCTCCTGGAAGTCCGAGATCGTCGGTCTGTGGGAGACATTCCGCTCGGAGCCGTGGATCGTCCTCCTGTTCCCCATGTTCTGGTCCTCCAATTGGTTCTACACATATCAACAGAACGCCATTAACGGCGCCTACTTCAACACACGCACCAAGGCCCTGAATGGATTCCTGTACTGGTTTGCCCAGATCGTGGCTGCTGTTATAATGGGCCCTATCCTTGACACGGAACGTGTTCGTCGCTCTGTCCGTGCTAAGGCAGCCTTGGTCAGCCTTTTCATCCTCACGGTTGTCATCTGGGGTAGTGGGTACGCTTGGCAGGTGAGGTACACCCGTGAGGATGTGGACCCGAAGACCACAGATTTCAAGGGCTGGGATTGGACTACCAAGGGCTATGTTGGTCCCATGTTCCTGTACTTCTTCTACGGCATGTATGATGCTGTGTGGCAGGGTATCGTCTACTGGTAAATTTCCCCCTGCTTCTTTGCCATATTTCATGACTGACATTATTCTTCTAGGATCATGGGCGCCCTTGGTAACTCCGGTCGCAAGCTTGCCAACCTGGCAGGCTTCTACAAAGGTCTGCAATCCGCCGGCGCGGCCGTTATGTGGTCGTTGGATTCACGAAAGATCCCGTTCATGAACGAATATGCCTCGAACTTCGGTCTCCTGTGCGGCTCCATCATCGTCGCTGTTCCCGTCGTCTTCTTCAAGATTAAAGACTCTGTTCCCGTGGAGGAAGAGCTTGAGGGAACTGGCGAGACGCTTGAGGATGTGCTAGCGCCTGGTGCTGTTGAGTCAAAGCGTGTTGGCGATGATAAGATCTAATCAGAACTAATATAAACTCGAAGGGGAATTGGATGGAATGTGAGCCTTTTTTTCCTTCTCGCTTTTTGCGACGGGCGTCTTGTTGCTCTGTGATGGATCTGGAAGTGCGCCCCCTTTGGTCGTGGACTGCCTGGTTTTATTTCTTTTTAATTGTCGCCCCCTTGTGATTCCCGGCCATCTGGCTCGCATATTGCCAGTGGTACACTTTGGGCCTCTATCTTTACGAAGTCGGTTCCGACCATGAATAGTCTCACTTTCACGATGACATGTCTATTCTTCTTATTGGCGTTTCTATTCTGTATGGCCTACCTTCTGCTTCACCGTTAGAATGGAATACATTCGCATAAGCAACGGACAGACTTTACCACTCCCACTCCTGACTAAAATAATGAAGGACAATGCCTTCTGAAATTAAATTGACCTAGAGCCATTGCCAGAAGGTTGATCTCAATATAGCTTGCAATAAGTTCAAATGCTGCACATCCTCAAGTCTACCCAGGGCAAAAAGACCTTCATTATCTCCTCTAGCATCCCTAGAACTCATTACATCTGTGCAACGTTCCCAAAAAGGATTATCAATAGACAGGGGTCGTCTGCAATTAAATGATGAGAAGAGCCATGTCTGCCCTTTATTAAAAAGATCATTGTCCATGGCTCTTCAAGAATATAAGCCTACACGAATCACAGAAATATTACACTGTTTTACTATTGAAAGGAAAAGAAAGAAAGAAATAGGCAAATAAGCTACCTATCTACTCTACCTCAAGCAGACATCCTGGCCAAGACCATGACGTAAAGTATGACAGAGGCAACCTTGGGAAGAACAAGAGCAAGACAAGGGGGTATTCGCTTGCCGGAAACACAGCGACAGAAAAACAAAAGAAAACAAGGCAATGAGCAAGAACTCGACAAAGACAATGTGTTGTGTTCTGTTGTCGTTGGCTTTCCGCGGGGAAGACCGGCCGGCTGCGCATCCTCCCTCCGACATATTTTCATCTCTCTTCGCTGGGAATGAAAAGGAAATTGCAAGTCGGAATGGCTCTCCACCGGTATCGTGTTTTCCGAATGCCCAGGTACCAGATCTACCATTGGTAATTTCTCATTTTGTAGGGAGGGTGGGTTTGTGCGATGCACACTGACCAAACGGAGCATAAAGTGTCTCGGGTGGATTGGTTGTCTTCCCCCAGACGCTGCGCTTCCCATAGATGTTAAAAATAGCAGATTGTGTCTATCAATAGACTTTGTGGCATGCTGATAATATTAAATCGCGTAACTGAGCAAAGGGTCAATGCGATGTCGTGTAATCGGAGAGCAATATAAAAGAATGAAACTCGAAAACACAGGCTTTCAAAACCGGTCAGGCAAGTTTACTTGGTGAGGATGTTGAGATAATCAGCCACAATGAGGGTCACCATTCTGCAGATCGAGTCAGTGGGGGAAAACTGGGGTAAAATAGTGGGGGAACTAACGCATGAGGAGCGATCCGGACGTAATAAGTTCCGAAGCCACGGTAGAAGCGCAACCAACCCTCTTCCTTGGCAACCTTGCGCGCACAATCCACCAAGCCCTTGTAAGGAACCAAGCCAGTCTTGGGGTCCTTCTGTTGCTTCTGGAGACGCGTCTTGATGAAATCGAAAGGTAGAGACAAGAAACTAGCGAAGAAGCCGGCAATGCCGGAAGCGGCAAAAGTCTGGTTCTGAGCGGAGAGAGAAGTGTGTTGCTTAAGCTGCTGCTTGGCCTCGGCGAAGAAAGTCAACTGACCCATGTTGAGGGCCATAGCACGCACAACGGTAGGCGAAGCACCAGCCCACAAGGCAGCGAGTCCCTCAGTGCGGGTGATGCGAGCGAGGGCATCAAAGACGGAGCGGTAGTTAGCGCGAGCCTCGGGGGCCTTGAGGCCATCGGACTGCATGCGCACGAGGGCCAAGTCGGCCGGATTTCCAATCATGGCTGCGATTCCGCCGGCCGTCAGTCCTGCTGCGGCACGTTCGGCGAAGGTTACTTTCCGGTTTGCAGCTTCAGCGCGGGAATTGAGCTGCTTGATGAATGTCTCAAAGAATCCTAGGCGCGCAGTAGTGTAGACGGCTTGGCGCAGGATGCCGGCGGACAAACCGGTGTAGAGATCGAGGACTTTGCCAGAGGCAATGATATCGCGAGTAATTCCGAGGGCAGATGGGCGAGGACCGGTACGGGCTCCTTCGCCAGCGAGCTGCAGGCGCACTTTGACCATGTCGACGGGTTGGAT